CAATAAGTTGAGTATTAGTTGAAGAGGAAAGGAAGACTGATAGAGAGAGAGAACGAGAGAACAGAAAGGCAGTTACCATAAAATGGAGCCCAAAAATTAATCTCTTTAATCTTTAAAGTCTGACTAATGAGGAATAAAGAGGATGACATATACTTAGAAGCTCATGGCAAGGCTAGAATAATAAGTAATTTGTACCATTGTTCACAAAGGAAGAGGATGCTGACAAAATAATGGCAGAATCAGTGGTGTTTGGAAGTAATGGATGAGGTGAAATTTGATTGAAAGGAACAGGAGGGTTTGTCATAACTTTCCATTCTTCTCTAGAAATGGGCAGATGCTAAAAGATTAGAGAATGAGCAAAGGTAACACCCTTATTCAAAGGTTGTCAGACCATTCATAGTACCGAACAGGTCAGTCAGCTTAACCGTGTTGTGTCAGGTTTTGGAAAAAATCATACTCTACAGATACTTGGTGATGGTTGAGTTAATTCAGGAGAGTTAGTGCAGTTTTCTAAAAGGCAGCTACTTTCAGTTCTGAGGAAGGGTCCTTGACCTGAAATGTTAACTCTCATCTTTCTCCACAGATGCTGCCAGACCTGCTGAGCTTTTCCATCAATTTTTGCTTTTCTTTCTAAAAAGCAAATTGTGCTTGACTAATCTTTTTGAATTATTTTAAAAAGTAAGAGGAAAATAAGTGGAGGGAAAGTAGCAAAAGTTTGTCAATTTTAAGAATGTGCCAGACAAATTACCACATAAAAAGGTGCTTAACAAAGCTGAGCCTCCTGGAAAAGGAGGGTTAGTGCCAGGTTGATTTTTGAAAATTAGTTTAAGGACAAAGCAGCGATTTGTGGTAGAAAGCCATGGTGTTACCCCAAGGTTCAGTGCCAGGCCCACCGCCTTTTGTCATAAATGAATTGTATAGTACAATTTTAACATTTGCCACTTGTCCTGAAGTTCGAAGAGTGGCACACAGTTCGAATGATACTAATGATACCGCACCACCGTTATGTTATAGATTGGGCAGATGGAATTTAATATGGAGAAATGTGAAATAATGCGTTTTGGCAGAAGGGGTAGGGAGAAGCCATATGGACTAAGTGGCACAGTTATAAAGAAGGTAAAAGCACGGAAGGACCTGAGTGTTCCTATTTCATAGATCTTCGAAGGTTGAAGGATGTGTTGAGCTGGTTTGCATAGAATATGGGATCTTGGGCTTCATAGAGGCATTGAACACAAAATCAGGTAAATTATGCTGGACCTTTTATAAAGCTCTGGAGTGTTCCATCCAGTTCTGTTCATGTACTTTATGAGCATTTGAGGGTACAGATTTTCCTGAATGGTTCCAAGATCGAAAAACAAGGAAAAGCTATTTCTATTAGCTGTTGATACAAGATCTAGGGGGCACAGCTTTAATGTTTTGGACCAGGGTTGCAGGGAGAATGTGGAAAAGGACTTTTTCGAGCAGTGTTTGGTATTGTCTTGGATTTTGCTGCCTACAGTGTTGGAGGATGCAGACATGATCGCTGATTTCAAAGGAAGTTGGATAAGCTTGTGAATTCTTCAATTTGTAGGGCTGTGGGTGGAGAATAGAGATAATCAGTAAGCTTTGCACAATGAGGAAGGAGAGATCGCATCCAAAGTGCGAAACAGCCCAATTAAGCTTCTAGCTAGGGGACGCTGGAGACAGAGTGGAATATTGGTCCAGAGGGGAAAAGCTGCTTTTTGCTTGCTTATGAAATTAAGTTGATCAACAAGAATCAATATTTAGTCAGAAAGCATGGAATATGTGGGTAAAGTTGAGGAACTGCAGAGGGAAAAAAACCCTGATGGGAGTTATGTACATGCCTCCCAGCAGTAATCAGGATGAGGGAAGAAAATAAATCAGGAGATAGAAAAGGCATGTAAGAAAGGCACTATTACACTAATCGTGGGGGACTTAAATATGCAGGTGGACTGGGAAAATCGTGTTGGTAGCTGATCCCAAGAAAAGGAATTTGTGGAATGACTATGAGATTGTGTTTTTTTTTGGAGCTGTTGGTGGTAGGGCCCATGAGGGAACAGGCAATTCTTGATTCGGTGATGGGTAATGGGGCTGACTTGATCAGGGAACTGAAGATGAAGGAAATCCTAGTGACCATAATATGATAGAATTCACCCTGCAGTTTAAGAGGGAGAAGCTGGAATTAAATGTAACGGTATTACAGTTGTGTAAAAGTAATTGCAAAGACGTGAGGGAGGAGCTGGCCAAAGTTGATTGGAAGGGGAGCCTAGACATGGACGAAGGTGAAACAGCAATGGCATGGGTTTCTGAGGGTAATTTGGGAGGCACAGCAGAAATTCATCCCAAGGAAGAAATATAGTAAAGGGAGGATGAGGCAACCATGGCTGACCAGGGAAGCCAGGGACAACATTAAAGCAAAAGAAAAAGCATATAATATGGTGGTGATCACTGGGAAGCCTTTAAAAATCAGCAGAGGACATCTAGAAACGCAAGTAATAAGGGGGGAGATGATGAAATATGAGGGCAAGCTAGCTAGTAGTGAAAAAAAAAAGAAAATTGCAGAGTTTTGTTTAGATATATAAAAGGTGAGGGAGAGGCAAGAGTGGATGTTGTACCTCTGGAAAGTGGGGCTGGAAAGTAATAATGGGGAACAAATAAATGGTGGAGGAACTGAATAGGTATTTCGTATCAGTCTTCATGGTGGAAGGCACCATTAGCACACACAAACTTTGAGAGTCAAAGACTTAAGTGAATGTAGTGGTTGTCACTAAGGAACAGGTGCTGGGAAAGCTGAAAGTGGATAAATCACCCGGACCGGATGGACTACACCCCAGAGTTCTGAAAGAGATAGCTGAGGAGATTGTGGAGGCATTGGAGGTGATCTTTCAGGAGTCAGGGAGGGTCCCAAAGGACTGGAAAAGAGCTAGTATAATACCCCTGCTTAAGAAGGTAGGGAGGCAGAAGATGATAAATTATAGGCCAGTTAGCTTGATCTCAGTCATTCGTAAGATTTTAGAGTCTGTTACTAAGGGTGAGATTTGTGCAATATTTGGAAGTGTGTGGTAAAATAGTGCTGAGTCAGCACAGCTTCGTCAAGTGGAGGTCATGCTTGATAAATCTGTTAGAATAATTTGAGGAGGTAACGAGCGAATTAGACAAAGGACAACCAGCGCAAGTGATCTATTTAAATTTCCAGAAAGCCTTTGTCATGGCCCTGAACAGGAGGCTGCTAAATATGACAAAGGTCTGTGGTGTTGGGGCGATATAGAGGATTGGCAGACAGGCAGAAGGCAGACGGTGCGGATAAAAGGGTTCTTTTCACAATGACAACCTGTGATGAGTGGAGTTCTGCAGGGGTCAGTGTTTGGACCACAACTATGGGGAGGCAATGGCCTGGTGGTATTATCGCTGGACTGTTAATCCAGAGACCCAGATATCATTCTAGGGACCTGGTTTCGAATCCTGCCATGGCAGATGGTGGAATTTGAATTCAATAAACTATCTGGAATTAAGAATCAAGTGACGACCATGAATCCATTGTCGATTGTCAGGAAAAACCCTTCTGGTTTACTAATGTCCTTTAGGGAAGGAAACTACCATCCTGACCTCTTCTGGCCTACATGTGGCTCCAGACCCACAGCAATGTGGTTTACTCTGAACTGTCCTCTGCGCAATTAGGGATGGGCAATAAATATTGCCTAGCCAGCGACACCCTCATCTCGTTAATGAATAAAGAAAAAAAAGCAAAATTCATGTTATACATTAGCAAGCTAGATGAAGGATTAGAGAATGAGCAAAGATGAAACCCTTACTCAGGAGAGGCTGTAAGAACATTCATAGTACCTAACAGGTTAGTCAATTTAACATCAGTTTTGTCTAAGGTTTTAAAAGCTATCAGTCTACACTTAGTGATGGTGGATTTAATTAAGGAGAGTTAGTGTAGTTTTTTAAAAGGCAGATTGTGTTTGACTAATTGTTGCTACATTTACAGATAACACAAAGATAGTTGGAGGGCCAAATAGTGTTGAGGTGGGGAGGCTGCAGAATGACTTGGACAGGCTAAGGGAGTGGGCAAAGAAGTGGCAGATGGAATACAATATGGTATAGTATGAGGTTATGCACTATGGTAGGAAGAATAGAGGTGTTGGCTATTTTCTAGAAGATAAAGGCTTCAGAAATCTGAAGCATAAGAGAGACTTAAGAGTCCTAGTTCAGGATTCTGTTAATGTTAACATGCAGGTTCAGTTGGCAGTCAGGAAGGCAAATGCAATTTATTTTGAGAGGGCTAGAATACTAGAGCAGGGATGTGCTGCTGAGGCTGTATAAGGCTCTGGTCAGACCGTATTTTGAATGTTGAATGGTTTTGGGCCCTGTATCTCTGAAGATGTGATGGCCTTGGAGAGGTCTAGAGGAGATTTGCAAGAACGATCCCAGGGATGAAGGGCATCTCATATGAGAAGTGGTTAAGAACTCTGGGTCTGTAGTCACTGGAAATTAGAAGGATGAGGGGGGTGTCTCATTGAAACATACCGAATACTGAGTGGACATGAAGAAGATATTTTCACTAGTAGGAGAGACCAGGACCCGAGGGCACAACCTCCAAGTGAAGGCTCGACCCATTAGAAGTGAGATAAAGAGGAATTTCTTCAACCAGGGAGTGGTGAGTCTGTGGAAAACATTGCTGCAGAAGGCTATGGAGGCCAAATCACTGACTGTAGTTAAAACAGAGGTCAATAGTTCTTGATTAGTAAAAGGATTAAATGTTTTGGGAAGAACGCAGAAGAAAGGGGCTGAGGAACGTATCAGCTATGATCGAATAGTGGTGCAGGCATGACTGGTTGAATGGAGTAATTCTGCTGCTATTTTTTATGATCTTATTAGATGGATTAATCATGCTAGCATAGACCTAATGGGCCACATGGCCTCATTCTATACTGTTCTAACTCTATAAAAAAGTGTGTTATAATCTTATAAAGTTTTCTTTCTGTTTCCTTCACTAGCATTCAGATGTGCATACTGTTTCTTTCTTAATCCGGCACGGAAAACAAGACCTCAGGCTCCAAGACTTCCAGACTTCAACTTTGAGAAAAGAACATGCTGTGATTCTCCAAGCTCTGTTGGCTCTCAGTCTGCAATAAATGATAGCCAACCTGCTAATGGTATATATACTTATGACTAAATCTCTACTTATAGTCAAAGCACATTACAACATTGACAAATGTGTTACAATTAATGAAGGACATATTGCTCAAGAATATTCAAAAGCTTTGTTCCCAGTGTAATTCTGTTTAATGTTATCTCTTCACTTTACTGAATTCTGCATGCTATCTCCCTATCCCCCTTCTTAGTAAGTTACAGATTAGCATTGAGACTTTGAACAAACTTTTTACTTTGATATATATATTTTGGAGTAAAGTTCACATTTTTAATTGTGTTAAAATGAGGTTTCATTTTAATCTTTTTTTGTCTGTTAAGCTGGAGATTAAAATAAAGTTTGAGGGAACGGAGTACTAGTTATTGAAAAGTGCATGTTGGGACTATTAGACATTTCTCCTTCCTCTCTTAGCTTGATTTGCGTTTTACTGTATTGCCTGCTGCTGCACTGGAGCAACAAGTTGGTGCTTGAAATGTCAATGCTTTGTGCCTGGAACAGGAAGTCAGCACCCACTCAGCTAGTAGGCATATGTGCGTTGCCATAGTGGTGTTGTGTTCACTGGCCTGCCTGCTGCTTCATTTGTTATTTCTGTCATTACTTCACAGCCTGCTTCCTTGTTTGCAGGGAATGGTAAGGCAGGAGATGACTGTAGTGGGGCTGCAAGAGGAGTGGCCTAAGATTGGGAGTGGGGAAATTGCAATCTCAGAATTTTTAACTGGTGTTTTGGGGTTATAAGTATTCTGTGAAAAGTCCAATCCGCAACCATAGTATTAAACTGGAGGAGTGAGTCGCCTGAGGTGTGAGGTAGTAATGACAGTGACGGCAAGGGGGACATCTAAAATCTAAAATAATGGTGGGATTAAATGAATAATTCTTAAACCAATGAGATTTAAGGAGTAAGAACACTACAGAAATGATGGAGGAGGAAGATGCATTGCAGACGAGTTATAGAGAACTAATGAGAGCAAGACAGTGGATGTGTAAGATAAAAGGTCACTTAAAATTTGACCTTTACCTCATATATAGGAGTAAGATACAACAGTTTAAATTATTCTGCTGCTGAGCTGAACTAGTTAAGTGGGATTGCATTAGCAATTAGAAGCTGTGAGAAAATCTTGGGTTTTCAAGCTCCAGCCCTAGCTTTCTGCAGTGAGTTTATAAGGCAATTGAGTTGCAAATCTGTGAAGTTCGTGCAAAAACCAAGGTAGCCCAGGACATGATGCTTGTGCAAAACTATAGCGGTTTAAGTTGTCCTGCAAGTTCTGATGATCAATGTAAAGACTGTACCTTTTTATCTTGCTGTATTTTTGATTGTTGACAGAAATGGGAAAAGAACTATTTTAAAAACCACGGATTGTTGAAGGATTACTGCATTTTTTTAAAGCTATCTGTCACTTATCGCTTGTGCTGTATACACAGCTATTGATCAAGCAGTGGGGACAGCCTAGCTACAAATGAGCTTGAGCCATTGGGCTGTGTATGCATAAACATTTTGCAGGCAGCATCTAGCTGATTGGTTTGTGAAATGGTGACCAGTTATTGATGATAAGGGCCTCCTGCCTGCCAACAATTATGCGATTGCTCCCAAGTAGCTGAGCAGCTTTAGGGTGTGAATGTTCGAGTCAGAAGCTATTGGACTACTAGAAGGGAAGGAGCTGTTTTTGCTTGACAGTGAAAAAAATATCTCAAGCCTGAAGATGACCAGTTTCTTTTCCTTCATCAGTTTGCTGTAACTGTGACCTTTATAAATGTACCCAGTCACTCTGTGCCTCTTATGACCAAGTGGAAATCCTGAAGAAGGAAGGTCAAGAAACACTGTTCTGATCAGTAGAAGAATTACCTCAGCCAGCCTGTAGAGAGGGGCCATTGATCAGCCTTCCTCGTCTTTCCCTCCACCCCATAACACCATTGTGTTTGTTTTGTGCCAGCCTGTATGTGTGTATAGTGGGGAGTTTTATAAGTAGAGTTATATGTCAACAGTTCAAAATTGTTTATCTACAGTTATAATTTATTACAAATAAATAGATTCCAATTCTTGTTAAAGTACAGAAACCTGGTCTGTGCTTTCTGTCAACCTGAGTCTAAGTGGCAGGTAAATTGGGGAATTCTGTGTACGTTTTAAAAAAAACATTATTTTTTGATTTCTCAGTGAACAGCAGGGCTTGATTTCTAGTGTGCTGCCCGAAAACTGAAAATTCACTTTAGAAGGTGGAGGGTGGGTAGATATGTGAAGGGATCAGTGGAGGGAAGCATTTTTTGCAATTATGTAAATAATTTAAAACAAATTTTAGAAATAAAATGTTTGGATTAAGGAGAAAGGGAAAAAGGCTACATACATCTTTTACATCTTTTATGAAATCAGTCATTACACACCTTTTCACCTGCAGCCTGAACAAATTAGAGAAAAGAAGATTGTATCAGTAGTAGATATCAGTAGATATCAGTGCTATGTTACAGATGTGCAATAGCAGTACTTAAGCTGCGTCCATTCTGGAAGTTTTATGGTGTCAATGCATTCAACTTATTTGGACTGGTTTCAAATTTTTTTTGTGTCCTAGAGCCAAGTCAGGATGCCGAAACTCAAAATGTCACACCTATCCATGATAGCAATCGAGTTGAGAGTGGTGAAGAAGGATCTACTTCAGTGGCGGTTGTACTGCCTGATGAAGGACAAATAGAACCTGAGAAGCAACTGAAAGAAAATGAAAATGATATTGAAATGACTAAAGTTGAAGAGTCTGCTGAGGGAGACTGAATAGCAAAGTGTCCTACAACTCAGCAAGTAGCTAAAGCTTTAATATATTTCCCATAACAGCGTATCAGTTGGTTCTGCCAGATGACGAATGCAATGGGTGAACAGATTAGGTAAAAATTTGAAAGGTTTAACTCTTGTCAGTATTAAAATAACATTGAATCTTTTTGTTTCTGCAGAAAAAAATCTAGATTTGCTGTATGTAATTTTTTGTGTTAAATCTGCACATTACCAGTAATATTAAATAGCAAAGGCTGCTTTATCAGTTGTCAGGTCACAGTGCCCTTTAGTTTTCAGATGTGCTGTACTGTACAAAATCGCTATTTAAAGGGTTGACCCTTTAACCCTATTTCACTTGAAATGAGATGTACTTGGACAGAGATTTTTTTTATATTTTAAAGACCGTTTAATTTATAATGCTTTAAAGTCTTGAAAGGTTTAAGCTGGATTAGGGAGAAAAAAGTAATTTAATGGAAAATACATTTACTTGTCTATGATACATGTTATAAGACTTGATGTTTACATTCAAATTAAAAACTAGCTTTTTATATTTTTAAACCTGGAACTTTGGATTGTAGGATTACCCAGTCCTTTGTATATTTAATATTTAAAAACTGTTCACTTCAATAATGTGTTTTCTTTGTCTGTGGATGATGAATTCACATGTTGTTGTAGAGGAGGTACATTGCAGATTTTTCTGCTAGGTTTATATGAAAAGCTATTGTGTTACAGGGACAAAATATTGATCCAGGGATTATCCCCGGTGCTGTATGGTGTGCATATATGCTTTAGAAATTTTGAAAGTTAAGTAAATTGTAATTACCATGTTTGCATGTACTAAGCGCTTTATGTAAAATACTTAAATTCTACTTGACCCCATATAAAAATCAAATTCATAATGCTTTAAAAATATATGCTGTCTCTTTGATGTACTTATTCAATTGATGCTAAAATACAGAGACCTCTCATGCTCATAACAACAAAAGGATAATTTTTATGTATGTTATTCCAACTCAGTCAAAAAATTAGTTTTATTCCTCAAATCTGAAATTGCAGCTTGCCCCTTGAGTATATTGTGTGACTGACCTCTGCTCAACAGTGATGTATGTTTAGTTTCTGATAAAGTAGTATCTCTAGAATAAATTTTAAAAATAAGTGCTTCATTAAAGCTCTGCTTCAATTCAGTGATTGACTATTGGGATCTGTACTAGAATATTCAGAATCTGATCCCAGTTTTGATTTGCGTGCATTTCAGGTTTCACGTGCAACAGATATTATTTTGTTGTTTAGTGATAAGGTTGTGAGGAAAATAATATATTTACATCTTGTGTAATAACGTGTCTATGAAATTGCCATTGGGCTGAGCCATGCTGTGATGGAACTTAGGCAGGCAGTAATTCAGTTTTCAGGACGTACAGAACTATTTTTTTTGAGGAGCAAGGTGCAAGATTCATGTATTCATAGGACGCTTCAAACCTACGTCTAGTAGGAAGACAGACATCAAGCTAGTTCAATTAACAGAATATAATCAAGGAAATCAAATATATCATTTAAAAGTTGTGATATTGGGTAATAATAATTTGCCGCAGAAAAACTTGTATAATAAACTGTTTTCTGTGTACATGAGTAAAATCTTGCTGTGGTATCTTTTTCTCTTCTTAAAGAACTTAGATTACTGAAAATGCTCCCTCTGGTCTACTATGCATTCACTAATTATATATTTAAAACAGTGGGAAAATACCCACCGACTTAGAGTTTCACTCGAAATGGAATTGTGTTTCCTCAGGATTTGTAATTGTTTGTTTCATTTGATTTTTTTGTTTAGATGGATTATTTTATTTTGACACTAGCATTTCGTGTTTAAATAGATACATTCTTAAGGATTTCTTTATAACTGACCTCTTGTTTATTGCCATGCATGGAATCAATTTCTTTCCTAAGGACCCGAATTATTTTTGAATGTTCATAATTAGGCATAAGGTTGTTGTCTCCTCTCTTGTCTGCCTTCTGTGGAGACCATTCCCTCCGGGACACCTTGGTCCCTTCTTCTTTCACTCCCATGCTGCCCCACTACACCTGCCCCTGCAATCGCTGAAGCTGTAACACCTGCCCATTTACCTCCCCCCTCCTTAGTATCCAAGGGCCCAAACACACCTTTCAGGTGAAGCAGCATTTGTCTGCACTTCACACAATCTAGTCTACTGCATTCGCTGCTCACAATATGATCCCCTCTACATTGGAGAAATTAAGCACATACTGGATGACGGCTTCACAGAACACCCATGTTCTGTCTGCAAAAAAGAACCTGAGCCTCCAGTTGCTTGCCACTTTAACACGCCACCCTGTTCCCTGGCCAGCATCTCTGTCAGACTTGTTACAGTGTTCCAGCAAAGCTCAGTGCAAGCTTGAAGAAGAACACCTCATTTTCTGTTTGCAGACCCTGCGGCTCTTCAGACTTAATATTGAGTTCAATAATTATTTTAGGGCCTGAACTTTCCCATATCCTAGCCCCCAGCCCAACACATCAAGCCTTGTTATCTCACAGTCTACCATTACACGCTACCTATTGTTAGCCACTAACAGTCTCCATTAACAACTAGTCACTGTCCTAGCCAGATTGTTATCCACTCCTTTGTCCAACTGTTGTTCTCTCTCTTTGGGCTCTATCCCCACCTATTGTTTATTCCTTACCCCCTCCCTCCACCATATCGGCCATATGTAAACCAACATTTTCCTAGCTACATTCAGTTCTGAGGAGGGGTCACCGGACCTGAAACACTGATTTCTCTTCACAGGTGCTGCCAGACCTGCTGAGTTTTTCCTGCAACTTCTGTTTTTGTTTTAATGGAACTGCTCTTTGAAACCCAGACATGCTACTGCGTATACAATTTAAATTCAAGCTTTCATGAAGCATCAAAAGATGCTTATCTTTGGTAGCCTTGTATAAATGTACATTCTCAAATTCTTTTATCTGTTTCTTTATGCTGATAGTATCAGAAAAACATGCTAAATAAATTAGGCGTTCAATGAGATTTTTTGTAATTCCGTTAAATAAATTTCATTCTCCATATTTGATAAATCTTTTCCCTCCAGAAGGTGAGTAAATTGAATACTGAGTCGTGGAATGTATTCCCTTCCCTTGTCTGTCCCCCTTCTATATTCTTTATTCATTTACCAATCCTCCCAAATTTTGGTTAGCAGATATAGCACAGGTTAGAGGTAATGTGCTTGTGCTCTGACCTGTTAATGAAGCAATACCCCACCTGCACCAGTGTGTTTTTCTTTTTACTTAATCCCCCAGCATTCTTAGCTCCATAAGGAAATCTGTTGGGTTTTGGAGAATTATAGAAATTTGAGCAAAGGGCCTTTTTATTGGTGATCTGTTTTCTTTCTAGTAGCTGGTGCCTATCCCCCTCCTGTCTCCAAGCTAGAAGACTGTATCTTGCTGTTATCTGTTTAGCTAATTATTAATTTAATCAACTAAGTAAGAACACAAGAAATAGGAGCCTGTCAAGTCTCTCTGCTATTCGATAAGATCATGACTGATCTTTTCATGGACTTAGCTGCACATACTGCACACTCACCATTACCCTTAATTCCTTTACTGTTCAAAAATCTATTTTTGCCTTAAAAACATTCAACAAGGTAGCCTCAGCTGCTTCACTGGGCAGGGAATTCCAAAAATTCAGAACCCTTTGAGTGAAGAAGTTCCTCCTCAACTTAGTCCTAAATCTGCTCCCCCTTATTTTGAGGCTTTGCCTCCTCGTTCTGGTTTCACTCACCAATGGAAACAACCTCCCCGCTTCGATCTTAAATTATCAAGGCATACATTATATGTTTTATAAGATTTCTTCCCCCCACCCCCATATCTTCTAAATTCCAATGAGCATAGTCCCAGTCTACTCAATCTCTCCTCACAAGCTGTCCTAAGGTTATAGGCATAGTAGGTCAGGTGGTGTGCCATGACTGCGTGTGTAAATGTTTGTGGAATGTATTGCAGTCTTATCACAGAATCATAGAATCTCTACAGTGTGGAAACAGGCCCTTCAGCCCAACAAGTCCACACCGAACCTCGGAGCATCCCACCAGACCCATCCCCCTGTAACCCACCCAATCTACACATCCCCAAACGCTATGGGCAGTTTAGCATGGCCAATTCACCTAACCTGCACATCTTTGGACTGTGGGAGGAAACGAGCACCCAGAGGAAACCCATGCAGACATGGGGAGAACATGCAAACTCCACACAGACAGTCGCCCGAGGGTGGAATCAAAACTGGGTCTCTGGTGCTGTGAGGCAGCAGTGCTAACCACTGAGCCACCGTGCCGCCTCTGCAGTAGTTGGCTGCAGCTTGAGCAACTTCGGTTTAGAAATGCTAAGGCGGAGTCTGAATTGCAGGCATGTAGGTCATCGGGAGGAAGAAAGTCGTCATGAGCTGCAGAAGGCAGTTGTGTCCTTTAACTTAAGTAGAAAAATTGAGATGGTCAGTTCTGAGGTAGGAGAACATGGGCACATATGGAGATTGGACATGTAATAATGGAGGGGCCTCAGCCCAGACTTCGATCAACAGATAAAACTGGGGCTGTGAACAGGGCTTCAAATTTAAAGGGGGTGGGTGGGTGGGTGGGGGAAAAAAATTCCTTGAAGAAAAAAGCATAAATCTAAAGATAAAAGTCAAGACAGGACAGTATAGCATTTTGGGTAAAGATAAGCACTGTGGGACAGGAAGGGCTGGTGAACTTACAATAATAGTGCATCAGTGAATAAGATCCATGCAAATAATAATAAGATGCTAAAATTAAAGACAGATGAATTACTGACAAGTGGGGATGAATGGTTTAGATTTAATTGCTCTTTCGAAGACATGGTCACAAGGTGACCAAGGTCAGAAAATAGATATTCTAGGCCAGTCAATATTTTGAAAATGTGACCAGAATGAAAAAGGAAGAGAAACCCTGAAAGGATGATGTAAGCACTGTAGTGAGGGGAAAAAAAATCTTGACTCCAATAGGGAGGAATAATTGCCATAGATGGAGATTGTGGATAATGAGAACCAGAAAAAGCTGGTGGGAGTAGTTTATAGGTCAGTTTAACATTATTATATTTTTAGAGCATTAAGCAAGAAATGATTGTCAGGGACTTTAATCTTCATATGATTAAACTAATCAAGTTTGCAAAGTTGGCCTGGAAGTTGGATTTGTAAAATGCTTTCTTGATGGTTTCATAGAGCAGTATGCTTTGAACTAACTAGTGATAAGACTGTCTTTAGACCCAGTGTTGTGCGATGAGGCATAGTTAATTTGTAACCCAATAATTAAGGGCTACTGGAAAATGTGATCACAATATAACTGACACTTTTTACAATGCAGGAAAGCTACACACTCCAGTTTCAAACAAAATCTTAAACAATGCCAAATATGTAAGAATGTGAGGAAAGGAGAGCTGTGGTTGTTTGGTAAATAGACTGAAAAATATGGTGCTGAATAGATTGGTAGGCAATTGTTTTTTAAAAATGTTCCACAGTAAAATATTGATTTGATAAGCAATCAGTAAGCTTCATCCATCTTTTACTCAAAATTGATCCTGGTATTAGATTAAAGGAAGAGGTGCATAATGTGTCAAAGAGCAAGTATAAGCTGTGCCACCATGGGACGGCACGGTGGCACAGTGGTTAGCACTGCTGCCTCACAGCGCCAGGGACCTGGGTTTGATTCCTGCCTCTGACGACTGTCTGTGTGGGTGCTCTGGTTTCCTCCCACAGTCCAAAGATGTGCAGGTTAGGTGGATTGGCCATGCTAAATTGCCCATAATGTTCAGGGAGGTGTAGATTGGGTGGGGGAAAGGGCGATGGGTCTGGGTGGGATGCTCTGAGGTTCGGTGTGGACTTGTTGGGCCGAAGGGCCTGTTTCCA